AACAACCTGTTCCATCATTAAACAATTTTTAGGGCATTAAGTCTAGACTTTATGCATGTCCCGAATTAGCTCATATGAAACTCGCAACGCATGAACAAGCACAAACATACATGCATAATTGAGAAAATTATATAATAATTATATAATAATAAAACGAGATAATCAATATATAATATTGAATGCCAAGAAGAATAGAGAGAAATTTTTAATGAGACAATTCAAGAAACATAAAACGATGCAAAAAAGAATAGGAAGGACATTTTAGCACACAATTCAAAAAAAACAAACCAATAAAAAACAATACGGAGTATTACTAATCTAGATGAAACCTAGTACTATAATATTTTGCAGATCACATGAACAAAGACATAATCAGACATAATCGACGAAGCGTCACGAAAGTCATAAATATAATGATTGGTGTTGGAAATATATTTTTTTAAATAAAAAATTGATAAAAAAAATTCTTTTTTGTACTAAAATAATTTCTTTGGTGCGTTCAGTTACTAATTTGAATAATAATCTAGAGTGTTACCGTCGAGCTTTTAGTTGGGCCGGATTTGTTTGAAAAATTTGGGATTGGTGAAAAGAATACTGTATGTGGGGAAGAATATATATATGGAAATATATTTGTTTTTTTCTTTCTCTCTTTTTTTTTAAAAAAGAAAGAAATACAGTAACTCAAAAACAATATAACGATTAATTATTGGATAATTTGTTATTCATTCATGCATACATTTTTCATTTTACCTCTGTCAGTTCTACATAAAAAGAAAAAAACTCTGGGGGGTATTCAAAAGTGCAACTGTGTGTCACAATGCTGTAATGATCTCCAGATTGCATTATTACAAATAGTTTACAAATAGTATACAAATAGTATACAAATAGTAGTATGAATTACGTCACACTTTGCATGAATTATTGTATGCAGGGATACAAAATAATTTAAAATATAAGAATTAAAATATAAGAATTTGAGTGTTTATAATATAAATACACAGTATATATATATATATATATATATATATATATATATACACTATATCTTTTTTAGATCTGTTTGAATATACATCGCTTTTTTTTGACATACGTAATTTTGGGGAATCGGAATAATATCTTGATCGGTATGGTTTGTCAACTATAATACCGATTATTGTATAAAAAAGCAACATGTGCGTTCTTATTTTATTATTTATTTTAGTAAATTTATACAATGATATTGAATGAGAGAACGACAATGCATAATCTTAAAAAAAAAACAATAAACCGTCGATAATTTTAATGTTAGTGATTATTGCATTCGGTTTGTAATATACATCCACAACGTCTGGTATGGCAAATAACAGTCCTTAAATTTTACGGTTGGAAATGTTACAACAGCACTCGCATTTGCTTTTTACTTTTTTTTTGAATCGTTAATTATTTTTAATTATTTTTAGTGTTCGTGTCAAATTTTGCCGTATTACAGTTTTTTTTAAGGAGATGAAAGTGGAATATCAAATGCTAGATATTCGTTAGTTTCTAATTCATTTGCCGGATTTACAGTATATTACATATTTACTATTAATAATAAATTTTTTTTTTAAAAAAAATATTACTTTTAGTTTGACAAATTATAGCATAAAATCATGGATAGAACAAAGTTGCGTAACACGATTATAATTTCCGTTGTAATTTCATGTGTACTTGTAATTGTACTTGTATTGTACTTGTAATTGTACTTGTAATTGTACTTGTAATTGTACTTGTAATTTTACTCGTAATTTTACTTGCAATTGTACTTGTAGGATTTAAACAACGATTATATTTTGAACGAATCATAATATTTCATTCATTATTTTCGATTACTTTATAATCATTTACTATCGTATCAAAGATTTGAAAAAAACTAGTGAATTTATTTGAAGTCAGATTGAACGCAAATTAAAAAGTTAAAATTTATTTTAATTATATATTTTCACCGCGAAATCAATAGTAAAATCGATCAGTATAAATTTTAAAATGGCATGCCAATTCGGAATCAAAATAAATCATGAATATGTATCATAATAAAAATATGTTCAAATATGTTTGAGTATGTTTTGAATATCATTTACCATTTAAATTGAAGAATTCACCAAAGACAAGTCTATGTGTAATAACATAAATAAAATAATTGTACAATATTTAAAACATTTGAGAAGAATCTTTACAATATATCAATTAACGTAAACGTTAATGACGAGAGCGAATTATATAGTAGTACATAATCAAAAAAGAAGCAAAAATAAGGGGAAAAAAATCATTTATGATGATGATTTTGAATATGTTAAACTTTGATGGGAAGGGATTTTTTTTAAAGAATTACTTTTAAAATCACCTAAACTATTTGAAGAATTAACTTTAGTTGAATTACTTCTTAATGGTAATTGTGGGTTTTGAGGGAAATTTTTAGAAGATGACGAAGGAGAATAATTTATATAATTTGATTTAAGTGAAATTGGAGTCGGAGGTAAATCAATTTTTTGAGCATAAAAACGATAAAATTTACAATAAGTGTTATATTCTTCTATTTCTTTTACATAAGTTTCAAGCATAGCATCGTATTCTGATGGAGTAGAACTCATAAATTCTAAATTTGATTTTTTTAACATTTTGAATACCTGTAACCCATTTTCTAAGTTCTAAAAAATGGAAAATAGAGAACAAAAAATAGGTAAGAATAACAAAATCCAAGAGAATAAAAGTCAAATAAAAAAGCTAAATGAAAAGAAATATTGGATTGTACCTGTAAACCATCACACACATTTAAATAACCGATTTTTGTTTCTACATTAAAATTTGACAAATTTGGATTTGTTTGAAAAATTCTAGTAATAATAGTTTCGATCAATGGACTAATTCCTTTAGCATGCATAGATGCGAGAACTATAAAAACATTATTATACACATTAATATTATGAACATTAGTATTATGAACATTAGTATTATGAACATTAGTATTATGAACATTATAACACTATATAGCATTATAACATTATAAACACTATATAGCATTATAAACATATAATAAAAGCATATACTCACAAGCTTCGTGTAATTTAGTAGTGACAGGACCTTTGTTATGTAAATTTAAATCACCTTCCATCACTTCTATGAATGCGTAAGGTTTAGACACTCTGACCAATTCTTTAATTACAATATCTTCCCAATTTTTCGTCGACAAATATCTAACTAAATTACTCATATATACAAAGTCAAAGGTATTATCATCGAATGGAAGTCCTTTAAGTAGGTCAGCTTGTATAAATTCAACATTGTAAGGGAGATTAGAGGTGGGAAATATTGGAGACACGTCTAAACCTATAAATTTTGTGTGAGGATATTTGGTCGCCTGTTTAATATCAAGAAAGAATAATCAGAGTAAATATTAAATGAACAAATAATAAAATTGATAAAATTGATAAAATTGATAAAATTGATAAAATTGATAAAATTGATAAAATTGATAAAATTGATAAAATTGTAAAATAGGTAATTTACCATGTCAATGATCCAAGCACCAGTTCCACACCTATTAAACAAAGATCAGTACGGTATAGAATGGATTAGTATAAAGAAGAAGACTAATAATAATAAGAAACACGTATATATGAGCATATATACTCATATACATTTATATATACTCATATACATTTATATATACTCATATACATTTATATATACTCTTATATTTATATACTCATATACATTTATATATACTCTTATATTTATATATTCATATACTCGCATATATACTCATATATATTCATAGATTTGCATATACTGACCCAACATCAAGAACCTTAACAGCACCACTATTCAGTTTTTGGTGTATTGGAGAAAAGAATCTAGATTGCCATAGATTCGACATATAATCATATAGCGATTGAAGTCTTTTCTCTTCCGAAATATCAGTATCTAAAGAACTTTTTGAAATTTCATGAATATTTTGAGTAGATCGACTCATGGTAAAGAATCGGGGAGTAACAATTCCAGAAGGTACACTAGAATCATCGTCATCTCTATCTAAGCTGGACGCTTTTTTACTTGAATGACAATTACCCATATTGATATTATCTATTATCTATATAAATATATATATATATATATGATATGAGCTAGTACGTAATAAAAGTAGTAATAAAGGTAATAAAAATAATTGAAGGATGACAATTATGATGAAAACGAAAATTTTATTGTTTGTTTTGTATATGCAGTTACGAAAAAATAATCTTTGATCTAAAAAAAAAAAAATTGATTTTTTTTTTTTAAACTGTTTGAAAGTTCGATTCACACATTTAAATACAAAAATTACACGGAGTTTAATAAGTTAATAAATTTGAAATCTTAGATTATATACTGTGTACACATACATATACATATATAGTATATATGTATAGATCGAAGTGGATATATATATATATATATATGTACGTGTATACTATATATATTATATATTATATATATTATATACGTAAATACTATATATATACTATATCAATATATTATGTACGTGCGTACTATATTACTATATGCTACTAGGTGTACTATATACGTACGTACATACGTATACTGAATACTATATACGTACGTACATACGTATACTGAATACACTGAATACAGTAGATAATGTATAAGTTTAATGTAACACCCTCACGTAAAACGGTAAAACGTGAAATTATACGTGAATATGTGGAATATTGATATGTACTTTTGCATGATGACTTAAAGAGCTATTGGTTACATGAATAGAATTTAAGATGTTCATCATCGTGTTGCATCAAAAATATACAGTTAAACATATATATATATGTATATCTATATGTATATATATATGTATATTATATGTATATATATATGTATATATATATTGTTTTTTACTATATCGATGTACGTAAACACAATAACGATAACGAGTGGTTAATTAAAGCGATTAATTTTCAGAATGATTAGAAAGCAAACCCTGCAAAAGAATTGGTAATCTCGATTCATAAAGAATTTATAAACCTTATTATCTTTGAAACCGCCTTGAAACTTGCCATGAAATTTCCGAAATTGCTTGTAAGGCTTGTAAGTGAATTGTGACAAGAGACTTGAGTTAACGAATAAGATTTTCCTTAAAATTTTCTCCTGATAGTCAAATAAAATAACCTAATTTCACATCAATTTTCACTTCAATTGTAACCAAATGATCACAATTCAATCAAATTTAAAGTATATTTCACAAGGTATCAGTATCGGTATCAGAGTAGAAATCATAAAGATATACAAATTATACAAATTATACAAATTATACAAATTATACCAATTATACAAATTATACAAATCAATACTTTACATATCCCTTAATTAACGTTCAACATTAACGTCTAACATTAACGTTTAACATTAACGTTTAGTATTAACGTTTAAAGTTTAACAACATTAACGTTTAACATTAACACGGATAGTCATTTAAAAAATTAGACTAGCCTGATCATATAGAACAAGAATTTCCGAATTGCCGGATCGCGCACGAATATCTAAATGCGGAAAAACAAAATATTACATCTTACGAAAGACTAAAGAAACTACGTACAGTACGTAAGTACACTACTGCTTAAATTTATTATGTTTACAGATCAGCATGTAGTGGCATGATTATTATACACGTATTAAAAAAAGGGATTTAAACTTTAAACAAGGTTAAGTAACACGTTCGTTTTTGAACATGATTTTATTATGAAATTCTTATGAAATCATTTGCTAAACAAGAATTTGATACTCGATCAACATGTCATGTTTATGTCAGAAGCACTTTTATCATCCGAAATCTTTAATAATTAATAATTTTAATAATTTTAATAATTTTAATAATTTTAATAATTTTAATAATTTTAATAATTTTAATGTATTTATGTATTTATGTATTTATGTATTTAATGAATAGAAATATGTCACATGAATAAAATAATTATTTTATTGTAAAAATTCTGTAAAAAATTCTGTAAAACTTCGGTAAAAATTCTGTAGAATACCGTAGAATACTGTAATACAAGCCTTGTATTCAATGAATACACTCTAATCTTCGATTCTCCCCTAACCTTCGATTTCTTCGATTTCTACTTTTTCAAATGAACGATAGTTAAAAGTGCATTCACTCTATTCACGTCATTTACGTTACTTACTAATATTACTTACTAATACCATTTTTCTAGCTAATACCCTTCAGTTTGTAGGTCCGTGCTAAATTATCCTGAATTATGTAATATTTCAGGGATTTTCCATTATTAAGACAATGAAAAATCCCTGATTAAAAAATCGATTAGGCCTGGAACTTTAGTCTGTGCACACGTTTCTACATTTCTTATTATTTTTATTATTTCTTATCGGTATTACAGTATTGTAAACTTTATTTTGAGATAATTGATGTATAAATATATCACGTGCTTGCCAATTTTTTCCAATTGTTTCCAATTTTTGTTATTTGTATCAACCATTAATGTGTTTGTTTTTAACAAAGAAGTAATAGAAGTAATAGATTTCGGCGAGTAATTTTTACCAATGATATCGCAAATTTGAAACCTATATATTTGTAAGCAATTGTTTAAACTATATATATATATATGTATTAAGAATGTATTGTGCATTATATGCGTTATTCGTACGCATTTATGAAATCTTTTCATGCTTAATCCGAGATCATTTATGCCTAATTATTTAATTCTTTTGATTCATTTGTTCTACAATATTTAATACTCTTTAATAATATTTAATGTAAATCATGAAACACTTAAAACTACTGCAATGAATAGTTTATCATGAAACATCTAATTTTCTCACTCGAGCTTAAAAACGCGATTTTATAATTTCCTTATAATTTCCTTGGGGTTCCTTTAAAAAAGGTTTGAAATTGATAATTTCGTGATTTCGTAATACTTATTCAAATTTAAATCCGTAATTTTGGAAAATTTTGAACCGTGATTTATTATTGTGAGATTTAATATCGTTATTGTTTGTTGATTGTTGTCTGTCTGTGCACAGGTTTTACTTTAATGATTTCGGTTAGTTTACCGTGCATCGTGTATACGATGATGAAACTCTGTTCCTACTTTTTTTAAAACTTAACGTACGTTATTATGTTGTTTAACTTTAATTCGTCCTACAAATTTTTTTACGCGGTTTTTTGTTTTTTTTTTGTTTTGTTTTTTGATTCAATTTATTTATGCAATCACAACGTCATAATGATTATGACTCAAGTTTACACTTACTACTATACATAATAGATTTTAAATATTCATTTCATTATCGTTACTCATCATCGTCACTCATCATCGTCATCATCGTCATTCATCATCGTCATTCATCATCGTCATTCATCATCGTCTATACTAATTTATCCTGAAAAAAAAACGTGATCTTCTTTTTTAAAATGTTAATTGGTTACGTATTTTCATTCATTAAATATGGTTCTAAATTTGGAAATATCCTTAATCAATCATACGTAAGATGTTAAACGTTAGCTATGTGTTGGTCATTAATCATCAACTGGTTATCCATTTTAAATAGAATGAATAGGTGTCGTCAACGGAAAAACCACACTTTTAGGCTTCAAGATCCATTTAACGGATCC